AGCTTAAAGGAGCTTAAACTTTTGACCCTAAAATGTTTTTGTTTTAAGTATTAAAAACTGCTTTTACTCTAGCCGAAATTAAACAAATAAGACTTGCCCCAGAACCCGAGAAGAAAAAATATTATCAGACCTACTGTGAAAATTTCCTTGCTTAAAACAACATTAATTAAACATTAACAGAAAAATTTAATTCTAAGGGGGGCTAATACTTCTGACATCAACTATGTATATATATATATATATATATATATAATGATCTATCAATCAATCTACATGAAACCCAAAGTATTTTGGGTAATGTAGCTGTATACTGTATTTAAACCAAATATTTACACACATTACATAAACAAATAAACAGATTCAAACATGGGCTAAAACTGTTTTACACCGAGGTACAGACTTAACTGTGACTTCTGTTTAAATGGTTTGTATTTCAAACACGTGACAAACATACAGTCATATAGGTTGTATAACAAGTTGCTTTTTCCAGTTGAATATTCACACAAGCCCATATCACGATTTGATTCAATATACTGTTGCTATTTTTATGACTATATTAAAAGGCTGCATGATTTTGGAAAAATTACACATTGTGAAATGATTTTATTCTGTGTTATACAGTTGAAGTCAGAATTATTAGCCCCCCTAAATTATTAGTCCCCTGTTTATTTATTTATTTTTTTCTGTTTAACGGAGAGAATATTTTTTTCAATGCATTTCTAAACATAATAACTTTAATAACTCATTTCTAATAACTGATTTATTTTATCTTTGCCATGATGACAGAAAATAATATATTATTAGATGTTTTTAAGACACTTCTATACAGCTTAAAGTGACATTTAAAGGCCTAACTAGGTTAATTAGGTTAACTAGGCAGGTTAGAGTAATTAGGCAATTTATTGTATAAGGATGGTTTGTTCTGTAAACTATGGAAAAAAATAGCTTAAAGGGGCCAATGATTTTGTCTCTAAAATGGTTTTAAAACAATTTAAAACTGCTTTTTTTTTAGCTGAAATAAAACATATAAGACTTTCTCCAGAAGAAAAAAAAATAGTATCAGACATACTGTGAAAATTTCCTTGCTCTGTTAAACATCATTTAGGAAATGTTTAAAAAAAATAAAATAAAATGGGGGCTTATAATTCTGACTAAAACTGTTTATTGTGATATGAATACAAATTCACTAGATGTAAATCTATCATTTTAAATTGATTGTGGTGAATCTGTGGGGGAGTGCATACATATAATAATGTACAAGCATAATTAAATTCAGTGAAGAAAAATATGCAAATTAAATAAAAAGCATTTTATTGTTTTTCGAAGAGTCAAAATGTATTCAAGTATACAGGGATAGAATAAACAAATGTAAAATAATACTGCATAGTCTAGGCCTTAAAAACACTTGCAAAATGATAAATTATAATCCAGACTCAGCATATAGTCTGGATATAGTCAACAGACATTGCATATACTCACGATGTGACTACTGCGACTGATCACATTGCAATATCGATGCTGAAACGATATATTGTGCAGCCCTACTATATTATCTGATTTAGTCAGCGTTTTCTGCATTGCGAAAACCATCTTCCCCCTTTCTTGAACCAGAATGCATTCTTTGTGCTTTTATAATATAACCATGGAGTTTGATCAGGTTATAGGTGAACAGAAAACATCTCACATTACATTCACAATAAAAGTTAAAATAAAGTTTCACATTATTCATAAACCTAGAAAAAATAACTTTTGGCCTATATAAAGCCCAGAATGTTTTTGCAGAGCCTGCGCATGCTATTTTGGACCATTTTATGCACTCTAAAGCGCTGAGCTTATTTGGATTCCGTAGTACAAGTATTAAAATCCTGACTACTAAGAACTTTGTGCTATAAAAAATGCAGTCACATCCAAACATTGTTAACAAACTGAAATCATGGTTTGCTCTGTATGCTGACACAATTTTTTAAACTCTAAGGATTTCTAGTTATAAATATGCAAGTCCTCATGCATTCAAATATGACTGTACACAGACCCAACTGTGTTATTCCCAAGGTGTAACCTCTCAAAAGTTTGAAAGAACATTTAAGCATTAATAAAAATTATTTATGAACTGTGCTAATTTTTTTTACATATACAAAAAAAATTATGTAATTATGAAATTATGTTTATGAATAATGTGAAACTTTATTTTAACTTTTATTGTGAATGTAATGTGAGATGTTTTCTGTTCACCTATAACCTGATCAAACTCCATGGTTATATTATAAAAGCACAAAGAATGCATTCTGGTTTAAGAAAGGGGAAAGATGGTTTTCGCAATACAGAAAACGCTGACTAAATAAGATAATATAGTAGGGCTGCACAATATATCGTTTTAGCATCGATATTTCAATGTGATCATTCGCAGTAGTCACATCGTGAGTATATGCAATGTATGTTGACTACTATATAGTGAGTCTGGATTATAATTTATCATTTTGCAAGTGTTTTAAGGCCTAGACTATGCAATATTATTTTACATTTGTTTATTCTATCACTGTATACCTGAATACATATACAATACAATTCATTCATATTTTATTTATTTTACATTTACAAAAAAAAGGTTGTAGTCTCAAGATCAGGTGGCAGAGTTTATGTCCTACATGACATTTAAGGTCAATACAGAGCTAAAGACCTTTTTTAATTAATTTTTACTTTTTTCAAAGTTTACCTCCTGTCTGACATTTTTTTCAGACATCGCTAAAGTGAGAAACAACATGACATCTTTGACAACACAGTAGCAGTGCCAGATAAATTCAACCTAAGCACAAATGTCAGACTTATTCCATGACATGTACAGACAGTTCACACTACATGTCTGATTGGCTGGCAGTGACTTATACAACTGTCCACTCCTTATGTCTTTTGCACCTCGGAGTGAGTGGCAGACATGCATGTAGTGTTCAGCACCATGGACAGCGGTCAGTGCAGAGACTCATACAGTACAAACTAGCTGCCTGTAATAGATGTTCACCCAGGTTGTTTTCCTCCCAGACACACTCAGTTCTTTGAACCAAACTTTAAATAAGAACTTTGAGTTTTAGCTTTTTTAGGCCTTTCTTTAAAATAATGCAAGAACTGCAGAGGCTATTGGTCTGAATCTAACTGATGGGATGATGTGATAATAAAAAAAGACAATTAAATCAAATCAGGAATATTGTAGTGTCCATGTAAATATACATGCACTGAAACTTTGCATTACACTCTCAGAAATAAAAGTACAAGAGCTGTCAATAGGGCAGTACCTTTTGTTTGTACCTGAAGGGTTACTAGTGGTACACTTTGGGTACTAATATGCACCTTTTAGGTACCACTTTGGACTCTTTGGGTACAAATATGTATCTTTTGAAAGGGTACTGCCCTAGTGAGAGCTCCTGTACCTTTATTTCTAAGAGTGTATTGTCCATTAGTTAAGATTAAACATTGCATTTACTAGCATGAACTATGGAATATACAGCAAAAGTATTTAATAAACTTTGTTTAAACTCGCAGCTTAAAGATTATTATGTGAAAATACATGTACTTATGCATTATTTATCATACATCATACATACATACATGGTATATAGTAAACTAAAGTTGTATTTATCAATTTTGCAATTACTACAAACTAATAAATTCTTCAGAAGTATTTTATTATACTTCTGCTGGACCTGCTGATTTATTTAAAAGCATTTATCAATTGCATTATCATAAATTGATGAAGTACAAGCACTTTTAAATATCAAAATAAATTATTTTTTAAAGCTTATCAAACTTATTTATCAAACTTAGATCAATGCCGTCTTATGCCTGTAACAATACATGGGTTAACACACAGCAGATCGTTCTGAATTATTTCATAGTTTTATTTCAAAGTCTATTTAAACTCATGCTAATAACAACTGCATAATTTGTGCTTAACATGAATTAACATACTTTACTATTACATTTAAACTTTTACATCAGATCATTCTAATATATCATATCAAAACGTAATTTCCATGTTAACTCATGCTAGTAACAACTGCACAAAGTGAACTGCCTGAAGTACATAATTTATCGATAATTTTGTACTATTTACAGTGAATTCAGAAATATTATATCAATGCTCCATGCCTTGTCAACTCATGCAAGTAACAAATGTACAGTAGATATACAGTTTACCAGTAACTTGTATATTTAATAAAGATAGCAGTTGCATCAGCCAAACATTTTAGGTAGTAGTTTTGTGTGTGTGTGTGTGTGTGTGTGTGTGTGTGTGTGTGTGTGTGTGTGTGTGTGTGTGTGTGTGTGTGTGTGTTTTTTTCTGTTGCTCATGCTTACAAAAAATATTCAGTTGAACATTACATTTTATTTGTTTAAATTCAACCCATATAAATTGTTTGCAATAAATTTGCGGACATCATTTTTTCAGAGTAGTTTCAAAACAAATGAAAATAAACTAACAATAAAACAATGACAAGGAAATCTATCTATCTATCTATCTATCTATCTATCTATCTATCTATCTATCTATCTATCTATCTATCTATCTCACCTGTTTTAGGAAATAAATCTTTATTATATCATACATTTGCTGTGTTTTGCTTCATCTCGTTGCTTTTTCCTCAGAGTTCACAGCAGGTGAAGTTATGACACAAACTTCACATAAGTTTACACATGGGATTCTCACAAGACTAACCCAGTGACCACATGTGTCTCAATAGTTTGTAACCCTTTATTTGACACTTTCATCATAAAACACACAGTATACGCATAACTCTCATGCTGAAAAAAGAACACCACACTTAATCTACTTCGAAAGCACAAATCTGAGGCTTACCGTGAATTAATCCGCATAAAGAATATAACAGAACTGAGCAATTCTGGTTTATGGACTAGGCCTACGATTGATATTTGTTTTAATAATCACAATAGCTGCTACAGTCAATATTGCATCTTCAATGAGAGTTCGAAATGATTATAACAGCACTCACCTAACACAAAGTACGGGAGCTCGGTATTTTCCAAGTCGTCAACAACGACTATCTCGCCGGGAAAATCATTCCTGACGGAGAAGAGTAGCTTGGGCTCGGAGGCCGACGGGCTATGCATGATGCTCAGGTCGTTCTCTCGCAAAAACGGCAACGCGGAGACCGTAACGCTTTTCATCTTGCACTCCATGTCTTGAGACTGATCTTCTTCGCCGTTCAGACATTTTACGCCAGCAGAGCTGAAGAGGACAATCCAAAAAACGCCGATAAGCAGATAGGAGCGCGGCGGTAGCATCATACAGGAGCGCGGCGGTAGCATCATGCCGGAGCGCGGGTAGCGGTTGTCAGGCTGCGGCAGTCGGTCAGCGGCGCACTGGGAGCTGGAGGAGGAGGAGAACCGAGGAACGCACTGGCTACACAATAATCGAGCTGTCTGCGTGAAAATAAAGAAATAAAGACAGTATTTGGGGCTCAGATATTCTCCGTCCAACGGCTAAATATTCTTGTTGTCATCATAACACGACTCGGCTTAGTGATGACAGCGAGAGAGGCGGAACAGCGCAGCATCGGAGCCCGTTATTGGGCTTCTCCACCTCAAGCCATTAAAAACGATTTTTCTTGTTGCAACGGGCAGCCATTAGCAAGAGCCACACACTGTAGTCTCGTGATATGTGAAACAGCCAGTTTATTTTCTTCATTTAACTACACTTGATTGATTAAATTCCCTGCCATTGTAGAGTTTTTGATAAATAAACATGACGCGAAAGACATGCTGTTTTCTTTCTTCAGCATTAAAACATACAGATGAAACTTTTAAGTTTTGGGTTTTTCTAATGTTAAAGTTTTGGGGTCTCTTGCTTATTTTTAAAGGACCAGGGATCTTTAAAAAAAAAAAAAGGGAAAATCTTTTTTTATACCACGTTTGAATAAAATACACATGCAAACATATTAATAAATTAGAAAAAATATATAGGCTACTCTAACTGAAGGCTACAATTAAGTAGGCCTATGTAACGATAAATAGATTACATTTACATGTTACATTAGTTAGCCTACATTTGCTGCAAGTAAAAAGTAAACTGAACAAAGCCAAATTATAAAAGAACATTCAAAAGTTGCATCTGAATGTTTTCACAAACATATCATTTTTATAAATTGATTTTTCATTACTTTCATTACATCTGACAGCAGAACCCCAGCTAAAGTTTTAAACATCACTGTCCACCAAGGAAAAAGAAGAGCAGAACTGAAGCCGAGAAGCCAAGAGCATCTTTTTCAAGCAAACAGCAGCTGCAGGCTCTGGAAAGAAAGAGGAAGAACGAGAGGAAAGAAAGAAGCAGTGCAGTCTCTGCCCCAAAGAATGATCTCCCTGTGTAATCTTGAGCTTATTCCAGCACTGAAGCAAGGCTTTAGCAAAGTGTGAAGCACTTTTGTGATGAAAGGGCACAGTACTCATTTCAGCTTTGACCTGCTCAATAATTGAACTTTGAGGGTGGTGGGAGGAGAGAGGGGGTATCGGTACACTTGTGGTTCCGTTGCTGTGATATCCCGCTCTCTTTTAAGGCTTTCTCTGCGACATGGCTGTTTGTTCTTCTCACATATCCAAAGGTAACTTGACAACTGGGGCATGAAAGCTGTCAAAATAGCATTATCACATTATTCCGCTGGTGATATCTCGTTCTCTACCTCACTTTTACACACTAATAAGATTATACATATGCAGATTATACATATACAATACCATAAATAGATAAATAAATATAATAATTATAATAATAATAATTAATAATAATAATAATAATGTTAACAATAACATCAACAATAATGAAAATAATAATAATTATTATTATTATTAATATTATTATTATTATTATTAAATAATACTATTATTATTATTACTACTTTTATAATAATAAAAATAATTATTATTATTATTGTCATTGTTATTATTATTATTATTATTATTATTATTGTTGTTGTTGTTGTTGTTGTTGTTGTTGTTGTTGTTGTTTTAATTATTATTATTATTATTAGTAGTAGTAGTATTATAATTATTACTACTACTACTACTAGTAGTAGTAGTAGTAGTACTACTACTACTGTTATAAGAAAGAAAAAATGATAATAATTTGTATTATTATTATTACTACTACTACTACTGTTATAATAAAATAATAATAATAATAATAATAATAATAACAATAATAATAATAATAATTATTATTATTATTATTATTATTATTATTATTATTATTATTATTTTATTATATTATTTTAGAATAATTTAAAAGTGTTATTATTTTTATTATTATTAAATATACTGTACCTTAAATGTACTTGAATACAGTGTGAAGTATAAAGTTTCCTTGGATGGACACTACAATCAATCAATCAATCAATCAATCAATCAATCAATCAATCAATCAATCAATCAATCAATCAACCAACCAACCATTTAACCTACCTACCTACCTACCTACCTGTCTGTCTGTTTATCTATCTATCAGCCTCATGGTAATTATCCAACATAATCTCTGTTTCTTCAGATTAATCAGACAAATGATGCTAGATTCCAGTTTTAGCTGAGGAAGTAAAGCACCTATCATCTCAGCATGTTTTCAGGAATTTAACTAGGCAAGACACAATTCTCTGCCCCTTATCTGGCATTGGTGGCACTGCCAGGAGGCAAATATACACACAGATGACGGGATTGCTCCCATAAGTTGAACTAAAAAAAAGACAAGTTAGGTATGAAGATGACACAGCACACAAAGGTCTTAAAATGAGCATCATATATAGTGTAATAAATACTAAATCTGAATTATTTCTGAACTACTCAAAATAGTAGCAATCTTTATTCATCTTTTCATGCTGCTAGTTGTTCAGTTGAGAGCAGTGAAAGACAGCCTGGAACTGCATGTACTGTGGTTTATGACAGGGGCAGAAAAGGTACTGTAAAAATCATGTTCTGTAGTGAATGGGAAGATTAACACATTATACTGTTATATCACCGGAGACACCAGTGTTGAGGAACATTGAAAACACAATTTTCTCTAGAACAGGTTACCGTGAATGAAACCTTCCAAAGATAAGTGCCTGTTTGAGACATGAGAAATCTATATTATACGTTGGAAGCTTCTGTGTTATGCATTTGTTCTCATTCGTAGCACCGTTGGCTCTTTTGATAGCCATGGCAACCTCATGCGAGTCAGTTGTCAGATTTAGAAAAGGAAAATCCACTCACAATATCTCCACATGTTTTCTGTGAGGCTTAACAGCAGACTGTATTTGACATGACAAATTATCACTGGGGGATTTGCGACCATATTATATCCAACATTTTGTTTTATGCTTAAAAGAGTGTCCTTGCATTTTCAAAATGGTGTGAAGCCGGGTTTAGACATAAGCTTCTTTTCTAAGAACAAATCATACTCTACATCACAATGTCGCCTATGATGGAACAGCACACAGAGTCCACATTTATGCAGATTTGAAGAAAATGCCACGCACAAGCTTCTCATAGGTTACTGAGGCACGTGTGTGCTTTCAAAAAGTTCACAAAAGAAGAAACTGGAAATAGGTTTCAGCCAAGCAATAATAACTTTATAAATGTTCGCATGACATTTCGCAATTACTGCTACAAAAAGCCTCAAACAGAGTTAAATAGTTCACAAAATGATCTTCAAACAAGTCAGACTGCACCTTATTAAATGACTAACAGTTGTTCTGAAATATAGTGCTTGATAAAAGATGATTAAAGGTGTAGTAGGTGATCTGCCAAAACGCTATCCGTTAGCATTATATCTTTAAAAACACAGCACACAGACCCCACACACACACCACCACGCCCCCCCCCACCTGTCATCCAAAGCCATGCCTCCAGAAATCATGAACATGCACCTTAAACACGATAGTAGACAACCCACTAGTTCATGTCATTCACCAGTTAGAAAACTTTATAGAACTTTATAATACTACAACAAAACCTGTGTTATATCTAGCACATTTTCACTTGTAGCAAAGAATTCTGGCCCAGATTTGGCATGAAGCTGGCACAGCAGGCATTTATTTGGCACTGGCATACAGCATTTGAGTCAAACATGGTCCGGGTTTGGCAGAGGTGGCACCATCTTAAAGGCGGCACACAAAACATGGGTCACATGTCAAATGCAGTATTTGGCCCAGATGTTAAAAATTGATATGTGGGCCACATAAGTGACCTATCTTGACCCATATTTAAAATACATTTAAATAGTTTTTGTGTAAAGAAATATTGTAGGCGGTTTATTCCGTTGTGGTGACCCCTGATAAATAAGGGACTAATCCAAAGGAAAATGAATGAATGAAATATTTTTATACACAAAGTCATTTCCATCTTCCTGTTTGCATCTTCTAATGCCTTCATCTTAATCCAGGAATCAATCAAGATTTAACTGTTTGAATTATTAATCTATTGTTTCTCGTATGCTGCAAAATAACTGAATTCAACCTATATTACATATATTTTATTAACTAAATTATTATTTTTTTACAAATTCTATTACCATTATACCATTATTAATGCACAATGCTTCATGGGTTTATCAATTTCATTGCAGTCTTGAGACACCAAGTCTGGCTTCCAATGTCTAAACATGGGCCCAATCTGGCCCAGTTCAGGCACAGATATGGTTTATTAACTTGGCTGAGACTTGGCCCAGATTTGTCCCTTGTCTGGAAGCCACACTTGGTCCAGTCATATCCCGTAATTCACTGAGGCATTTGGGCCAAGCAAAAGCTGATTGTGTGGGTCATAGCTGGGCCAAAGATATTTTGCTTTGTGGGTTGTCATATTGTGCAATATTTCATGCATGCAAGGATTGCTGGTCTCATTCTCTCACATACTTTGTCCTAAAGCGACTACTATACTGTACAGTACAGTATGTTTAGGGGTTGGCTGGTGGGGTGCAGGCATTACATTTATTACTAAAAAAATACTGTAATGCTATTTCAGATCGAATATTAAAAGTAGCATGATAATAACGGGACTGTATCACAGGTCGTCATTGTTCAAAAATGATCCAATGTGAATATAAAACTAACTTAACCTCAGTAAAACAGGCTAGGCAGAATAGCGCTATGTACTGATGTTTTGTTATTAAACTATTAAACTCTATTTTATTGATGCTGTAAATTGAAAATAGTCACATCAATCTTTCGCCAAAAGATTTCAGTGGCTGAACAACACTTTCATGCATATAAACCAATCGTAAAACATCAAAATCTACATAAGCTTTACATGACTACAGGGGCGTAGCAGACATTTTAAAAGTGGGGGATAGCTGAATGAGATCCAAAAGTTTATGTTCATATAATTATTAAAAACCTTTTTTGAATGATCTGTCTCTAAAAGTGAGGGGGATGTTAGATGTGTTATACATATTTTAAAAAGTGTTTTTATTTGTGTACACTCATAATACAAATAAAATGTATGTTTTTTTTGTTTGTTTTTTTGGTAAAATAACAAAATTAAAAAAGGTCTGCTGTCACTATTTATAACTAAAGATCAATCTGAAACTAATCTGAAAATGAAACATTAGTCTGTTGAAAGCTTAGATTGTTTGCTTTTAAGCGATTTAACAACTGTATCACAGATATTTCCAGTTTATT